GCCCAAGCCGAGGCTCCTGAGGGAGCCTTAGAGCCTAGTTACTTACAAAACAGGTTTAGACTAAGCGCCATCTGCGCTCGGCCACCTCAAACAATCCACATCCATTCATCAAAAAATCCCATTTATAGTATTACTAAGAATATAAAAACCTCCATTTTTAGATACGTGGACGTATTGACCGCTCAGTTAGAGCAGAAGTTGTCTGTGTGCGACAAGGTGTCGCGGCTGGCGCAGCGCGAGCGCGAGCGCGGGCTGGGTGCGGGCGCGCGCGCCGCAGACCTGCGCCCGCTGCTCGCACGGCTCATACAACGGACGAAGGAGTTACAAGCACAGGTGAATCTTACTAATATTATAAATGCGAAAGTCTAGATTTATTTTTTAATCAAAGGTGTACCCTCGTTTTTAGTAACTAGCTGTTCCCATGCGACTTCGTCCGCATGAAATTATGAAAGTTTTATTTTATTGTTAACATTTATCAAAGTATTAATGACAAATGTCAAAATGACATGACATGACAAACCTTGGCAATCTTGCTTCCTTGATGTTGGCAGCAACTTATAGTCTCTTTCCCACATTAGGGTTTTTATCCAAAATATTTACAGCCTAAGTTTAACGGCGTGAAAACATATAGCTTAAAGCGTGACGTAAGTGTAGAGCCTTTTAATTAAAAAAGAATTATTCAAAAAATATGCTGTAATTGCTGACATCTTAGGCAACAAAGGAGTGTGTGTTTACGCTTTATTATAATAGTATAGATTGTTTTTGTATGTTCTAGATTGAAGCAGACATTTCAAAGAAGTACAAGGGAAGGCCGGTCAACGTTATTGGTGGTGTGAAATTTCTATGAGAATATAAAAGTTTTGTACATATAATAAATATATGTTTTATAAAACTATGCTTTCATTATGCCCAACTTTTTCAAAATATTTTAAAATGTCACCAATAAAACTTGATCCCGTATTGACTTTTCGCCACAAATCTAGCAAATGTTTAGCAAAAACAATTATTTAGCCGAATTATTAAAAGGCAAATGAACACTAACAAAATAATAATAGAGCACCTTTCAATCCGACAAATGTTACCATGGCAACAGAAACCTAATTTAGAAACTAATAAATCAAAAACATCCAAAAATAACTTTTACTGTTTTGGTCAACATGTAACTTTGTTATTTTTTAATTCAATTACTCCCAATTTAGGGGAGTTTAATTCTAATGTGATAAACTTTATAATAACTAAGTAAAACTTATGACAAGGGATGGAGAAACAAAATTTAATAGACTATTATTATAGTAATTATTCTTTTACAATATTTTACGTATTAAAATAATTAGGCAAAGACTTCAGAATAGTACATTATCTATTTATTATTTTAAATAAATTCAAGTTCGACTTTATCCAGTTTATTTATCCGTATATGTATGCAGGGTAATAATAATAATAATACGGATACACGACAGGGTAATAATAATAATAGGGGTAGAAATAATAGGCACAAACAGGCTTTCCTGGCGGCTCACAATTCTTTGGTACATCACCATTTTTTCGATTAATAGTCGCTGAATAACATAACTGCGTTATTATTAAAATAACTACAAAAATATGTAGATTGTTTGACATCTGAAAACACAAAATGAAACGTAAGAAATTCTCAATTAATTTTTTATCTTTTAATTTACATTAAGTACTGGCCACTAATTCAAACAAAAAAAGAAAAAAAAAACGTTGGCTGAATTTACCAAAAACTTTTGTCTTCGAACAGCAATCCATTAGCCGTTTTTCCATTGGCTGAATTTGAGACCTTTGCCTATCAAAAGAAAAATTATATACTTACTTCTGGAATAAACGTAAGGTACTTATCGATTTCACTTCGCCACTGTCTTTAATGAAGATATCTTCTAGACGGAATTTAGTTAATTTTTGCAATACTAATCGATTATTTATACTCATGATGTGTAATTATACGATTCGATTGTGTGATTTTTCTGTTACTGGTATTAGTAACACGACATCATAGTAAACAATATTTTATTCCAAAATATTGAATTAACAAAGCACTAACTGAAGTGTGCATAGAATCTTGTTTGACGTCGATCGTCTTACATTTATGGTCCTAACTGAGTCGGATTTATTATTTTACGACCAAAAATTCAATTAAAATTGTAAGAAATCTGTAAGGTGTATACGTTATTTGCATAAAACAAATTAAATGCTAAGAATATCGATGAAGGAATTTTTCCAATAGTTTGATCCATCTTTTTTTTTTATAACATAAGGTGGCAAACGATCAAGCGGCCACCTGAATCCACCAAAATGGCGAAGCGACCGCTGCCCATAGACATCCACAATTGCAGATGCGTTGCCTACCCTTATCCGACAGAGGAGGAGAAGCACATAAAGAGGATATTTCCCCTTCCTATGCATCTCCTCTACCATCAAATCCACTTCCCGTTGCCATCCTCTCATAAGAAAAGGGTAGTAAAGAGAAAGGGACTTAAATTAGGCCTCCGGCACCAAACTCATCAGAGGAAACACGGAATTGCTTCCATTTCACGCCTGTCTTCTGTGTGGTCGTGGTATTACACCGGGGGTGCTAAGATGTTAACGCGGGCACTACCACTGTTGAATAGTTGAATAGTTGTCAATAATGAAAATGCAATGAAACTTTTTATTTCACTTACTAGTTTTGCATCTTTGTCAAACCCAGCATAGCAAGCGTAATCCCAATATTAATTCTAAAACATTTCGTTCCTTTATTATCTGTGATCTTGCTTAAAAAGTTTAAGTATAAAAATAAAAAGCAACTAAAATGTATTAGCAATTACTTTTATTTACACTAATGTTACATTATTTACAAATTATAATAAAAATTAGTGGTAACATTAAATATGGCTCTATCGGAACATGAGTAAATTTTGCAATAATCGTAATGGCGAAGAGTGACAAAGCGCGCGTCCTCTCGGACAGGAATACCTTTTGACGCACATCGCAAACTTCCTGTCACATTCGCAGAGTCTTGCAGCACAGCCGTTAATAACGTTATGCCGTGTCTGATAGTTTTCTAGCGCACAGAGCGGCTGGTTGTGGTAACACTTCCAATAATATGGTTGGAAGTACACCGTGTAGAACGGACAGTAGATGTTCTCGTAACATTCATCGTGGAGGCGACAGCAACTGAGGAATAATAAGTATTTTAAATTTGTACTCAGAATCGTTGAGAAACATAGAGCAAGTTTATTATGAGAAATATTATGTAGTAAGGTATTAAAACGTTTGTAACAGTTTTTTGTTTTTATTTTGTACAGCTGTCGTATGCGACTTAGTTCGCGTGGAATTAGAAAAAAAAAAACAAAGCCAACAGCCTATGTGTTCTTCCAGACTATATCTATGTCAAATTTCATCGGGTTCCGTTCAGTAGTTTAGGCTACAAGCTCTAAAAAACGTCCATCCATCCATCTAAACTTTCACATTTATATCTATCTAATATGAAGATTAGTAAGAAGTAAGATAGCTGTCGCTCGCGACTTCGCCTACGTAAAATTAAAAGTAATAAAAAGTATAGCCTACGTTACTTAGCGATAGCGGTAACTTTTTAATTTTGAAGCAATGATTTAAATTAGCCAAGTAGTTTTTGAGTCACATACAAAACTACAAATCTTCCCTCTTTATAATATTAGTATAAATATAGATTTGGTAAGTATTGAAATTTGTAAGTGCTTGTGTGTTTGTGATGCGTCGTCGTTTATCAACATACTTATCAATCCCATCAGTAGGTCGACCAGAGCCGAGGAAACCGCAATAGCAACCGTAACCCTTGTAGGCAAGCGGCTCGCAGCCCGTCGCGCAGAATATCATATTATACAAGTGCAGTACACCTCGTTTACCGCGATTTTCATTTTTATTTGTAAACGCATTTGGGTCTATATTCCTGCAAAAATAGATAAGCATTTTTTATAAAAAGGGAGCAAACGAGCGGCAAGAACACCGAGGTGGTCAGCTACGCCCATGGACATCCGCAACACTAAAGAAACTACAGACGCGTTGCCGGCCTTTGAGGATATTGTAGGTTCGCTTCATGAAGGTCCGTAAGTCGTATTGGATACTTGTTATTTTAATCGAGAAGGTTCTTTGTTATATTTTTTTAAATTTCTGTTACTGGTAATTATTTCTGTCTCTATTTTTAAGATATAACTACTCGTATATCCAGCATTTTCGAGCTAGTAGTACACGCTGTCTAGAAGACTTCTACTGTTTTAGCCTTGCAGCCTTAGAAATAAACGCGGTATAAAGTTAAATTTAGCAATAAACTGAGTATAAGCAAATATTAGTATAAATTTTGCTTATAATCAGTGTATAGATATAAGTCCAAATAATGATAGGTTTCTGAAGTTTCCATTAATTTTATCGTTCCATAGTAATTCATTAGTTATTCATTGACAAGTAAAACTCAAGTTACGTAGTTCAGAAACGCATACCATGAAGGTATCGAACCAAAAACACTAATGTATGGTTAAATGTAGCTGGGAAACCGGCCATAAGAGAACTAAGAATATGTAAAGTTACTTACCTAACACCTTTAATATAATCACCCTCTGGTATAGAATATCTGTAAGGGTCGTGTGAAAACCCTACCAGTAATTGACTGCTTTTTATATTATTGCCTTCTCTTCCATTATAATCTAGATCCTTAACTTTGGTTTGCTCTCTATCAATATTTCTATTACTATGACTATGAGATGACTGTATGCTGTATTCTGGTATTTGCGCATAGTTGGTGCTGTTGTATATTTGATCGTATGTCAAATATTTCGACCAATCTGAAACAAAAGAATGTATCATTATTAAAACTATATGAATACGAAAGTTTAGATGAATGGATGGATGGATGTTTGTTAGAGTTTGTAGCCTAAACGGCTGAAAGGATTTCGGTGACATTTGGTACAGATGTAGACGATAATCTGAAAGAACACATACGCTACTCACTTTTGTTTTTTTTTTTAATTCTACGAGGACGGACTCGCGAGCGAAAGCTAGTAATAATATAATCCTATAAATCCTATCCTATAAACATTATAAATGCGAAAGTTTAGATGGATGGATGGATGCTTGTTAGAGTTTGTAGCCTAAACGGCTTAACGGATCTTAATGGAATTTGCATAGACGTAGAGGATAGTCTGGAAGAACACTTAGGCTACTTAATTTTATTTTTTTTAAGTTCCACGCGGACGGAGTCACGGGTGAAAACTAGTAAGTACTACGTACAACTTTGTAGTAGTACTTTCATGATTAAAATAAAATTAACTGCCCTATTCCTTACATGAGTTCAGAACTGTATACGCATTATGAATGTCGCCAGGGTGGGAGGGTAAGGAGGTGCTCCTATCTTCTTTTCATTTCCAGAAGAATTAAAAGATTCTACTTTAGAAGAGGAATTTTTGAAGTAAAATTTCACTATATACTAGGTTTTTTATAACAATTGAAAATACACCTAAAGTCTAATAACAATAATTTTCGACCGGACACATAACCTTAATGATTGCATTGTAAAAAACAAACAATTTGTTAGATTCCATATCTGATGAATTACATCCTTTCCCACATCAAGATACATAAAATATAAAGACACTAAAAACACTGACCCACAGAGATATATCATTGGTAAAAATCAGTGATGTTTACGCACTGAATACCTTCATACAATAGCATGTAATGAACGTATAAAGAGATCATATGATACTCGTATGTTTCAATGGACAGAACGCAACGGACCGACAAAATAAACCTTTGGCATCAACAAAACATGGGATGAATATTAAACTAATTCGAATTAATCGAATAAAAATCTTAATGAATGCTTCTTTTTTCAAACATACGAATTCATTGTAATCAAGTTTACTTAGTAAACATTTATACGCGTTTTAAATATTTCATTGCGTTATTTCGTATATTCAAGTAACAAATGATTTGATAGCTTTTGCCCTTGTCCCTATAGAAGGACGTTGTGCTTTCATAAATCTCTAAATTCAATGACTGAATTCCCTCCTTACACATATCCCTTTCACACAATCTATCCGTACTATCTTTGGTCTTCCTTTACTTTTTCCATCTACATTTAGGGCCTGTCCCACCACTGAAGGGAACAAAATCTGATATTTCCATCATATTTTACACGTTGGATAAGTTATAAGACTAAATTTGGTACGACAGGCCCTTAATCTTTCTTCTTTATTTTATTCCAAAATTTTTGAGAACAAAGTAAATGTTCACCGATTAATAAAATATTTGTCAAGAATTGTTTGATGTAATTACAGTATTTAATATTTAGGAATGAGAAATCGAAATTACTATCGACAATAAGTTTTAATTGCCCCTGATAAGAATGTCAAAAAATAATTATACCTACATGTTTACATATAAATAGATTTCTAGTGATTTTACGTATCGTAGTTAACAGTATAAAATTGCATTAAGTTAATTTTTATCATCCATAGTCCTTGTTGATTTTTTAGAAAACAAATAATTATAATACGAAATTTTTGCTAGTGATGTGCTTTATCATAATTTCAATATCTACATATTTGTCGATAGAAATCGTTTCTATAATGTCAAGGTTTTCAAATACCTAACGCATCGTGCGAGTAATTATTTCGCAATTGGGTTACGAATTATCATTAATGACTTGCAAAATGCTTTATGATTCGATCAAATATGAAACTGATTTTTAAATTTAATGCTTTGTGTACTTCTTCTATCTTTACTAATATTATAACGAGGAAAGATTTGTACTTTTGTATGTATTGAAATAATTCAAATTTTTTAACTTAAAAACTACTGGACACCGACCCAGTAGTTTTTGAGTTAAATCGTTTACAAATTCTTACACTATTAAAAACTACGTTATCAGTAAATAACATAAGCTATATTTTTTTGGTTTCTTTTTTCCCAACTTCACACAACAGGTAGTTAAATATCAAATATTTAATTAAACTTACGTAGATTTTAAAATTATCTCTGAATTCGTTCTAAAGTGATACATCATGACGATAGTGATGTGCTATATCATTGTCATTGTCGATAGAAATCGTGACTTAAATGTCAAGGTGCGGCTGCGTGTAATCTCAGATCATGCAACTTATTCTTTTGCAAGGGCCCATAAGTAATGTGTGGAATCCATTGATGGTAATGATTTTGTTTCGTAATATAATTGAATAGGTAAAATTGTGTATAATTTAACTATTATAAAACCGTATGAAGTTAGGTAGTCAAGGAATTTAATTTGCTATTGAAGAATAAATATTGTATAACTGTAAAACTTTACAGAAAGTAAAAAGTGAATTTATAAAAAGCAGACGCCTTGTTTACGTTGTGTCATAATTGCTATTAAGGCCTGTCCCACCAAATTGTACATTGTCCGATAACAATCCAACGTGTAAAATATGTGATGGAAATATCGGATCTTATTACCTTTCAGAGCCTCTTTCAGCCAGTGTTGGGACAGGCGCTAAGTACTTTGATTCTGACAGATAGCGACTCACGAAGCCAGATAAGCACGTAGGACTAAAAAAAGCAAGGTATTTTATACTGACCTTAGAATTTTGATTATTAGACATTTTAAAACAAACGTCATGTTACAAAACATCATCCCACATTTGAGGTCTTTGTTTAGTAATCAAATAATGACCATGTCCTACTGCTGTTATTGTTTTTTATAAATCTCACGGACATTACAAATACAGACCGCCCTCGTATTAACATACAATGCGATTTAGTGTTATCATTTAAAGTTTGTATATTATCAGATTGTTGGTACACATGCATAAATTACTCTTATGAAATCTCCTCTGAGGATTTATTCACTAACTAGCTTTCGATCGCGACTCCGTTCGCGTGGAATTAATAAGAACAAAACTGAGTAGCCTATATGTTCTTCCAGACTATCCTCTACGTCTACGTCAAATTTCATCAAGATCCGTTCATTTGTATAGGCTACAAACTGGAACAAACTTTCATCCAACCATCTAAACTTTCGCATTTATAATATTAGTAAAATTATAATATCACTGTTTCTAAGCTTAGGTTCAATAGACATTTGTATTAATTAAAACTAGTAGGAGTTTCAAATATCTTGGAGGCTCAAGGTCATCGGTACGCGCAAGCACCTTAGCTCTCATCCGACTAGGCTCCGCTATAAAATTGTATTCTTTGCAGCGATTTGCGTGAAGTTATAGTTATAGTAAAACATTTATAGTTTTTGGTAGGTGGTGGTTTTGGTATTATTACCAAATTGATAGTAGACGCCGCAGCAACATTAGCTGCTTGAATAACCCTCCATGTACCACGACTACACGGAAGACAGGCTTTACTCGTTTCTTCTGACAAATGTAAGTGCCGGAGGCTTCATTGTACTTCGCTCTACCATCTTCTTTTGAGGAGAAGATGGGAAGGAAAAGTTGATTTAAGGAGTCATTTAAGTAAATTATATAAGTAAAACTCTTCTTGTACCTCTAACAAAGTTTGCTTGGATTTGTTTGAATCTACTTAGGATTATTGGCATAACTAATATGTAAAATTATCTCCGTTGCCTAAGGTATGTTAAATTGTTCGGTAAGCGGACCTTGGCCTAATAGTAATCGCAAACACCTATTAAATATTTGAGTTAACAAATCTGATTGCTGGTAAAACATTGATGAGTTCACTTCTAGAAGTTTATTTGCGTAATTTGACATGAAATTGTTTGATTTTGCTGATTCAAGGTAGCTTGGTCAAATAGAATCAAACGTAAAATGTCTAATATAGAATTTTAATCTTTATTAGCCTTACAAATAAACGCGTTATTAAGTTAAACTTAGGAATAAACTGAGTATAAGCAAATATTAGTACATACTCGTATTTTGGTTATACTCAGTTTATTCCTAACTTTAACTTTATACAGCATTTATTTGTAAGTCTGTAAGGGTTTTAATATCTTTGAATTCGTTTGGTTGTTTTTATTTTGTTAGTTTGTCTTATCTATACTAAGATAATAAAGCGTAAACACACACTTCTTTGTGGTGTAAGATGTCACCAATTTTTTTTTTATAACATAAGGTGGCAAACGAGCAAGCGGCCACCTCAATCCGCCAAAATGGCGAAGCGACCGCTGCCCATAGACATTCGCAATTGCAGATGCGTTGTTTACCCTTATCTGACGGAGGAGGAGACGCACACAAAGAGGATATTTCCCTTTCCTATGCATATCGTCCACCGTCAAATCCACTTCCTCTTCCCATCCTCTTCTTATAAGAATAGGGTGCTAAAGAGAAAGGGACTAAAATTAGGCCTCCGGCACCACACTGATCAGACGAAACACGGAATTGGTTCCATTTCACGCCTGTCTTCTGTGTGGTCTTGGTATTACACCGGGCGTGCCGGCCTATTCATGCTAAGATGTTAAAGCGGGCACTACCACTGTAAAATTACAGCATATTTTTTAATAATTCTTATTTTTAATAAAAACCTCTAGACTTACGTCACGCTTTAGGCTATATATTTTCGCGCTATTAAACTTAGGTGGTAAATAAATTGGATAAAAACCCTAATGTGGGGGAGAGACCATAAGCTGCTGCCTTCAAGGAAGCAATTGCCATAGTAAGGTTATTGGTATTTTGAAATTTGCAATAATTTAATAAATGTAAACAATAAAACAATTTTTTTATAATTACATGCAGATGAAGCCGCACGGCAACAGCTAGTATTGTATAAGTAATTTTCATCAAATTAAGTTGGTTTCAGTGTTATCGATTTTGTATAAATTAATTGAAAGGGTACGACGTCTTTTTTTCTTTTAAATAGGACAGTTATTGTAAAGGGAAATATATTTTCGTTGTGTAATGTAAAAAAAGTCAATAAACGTAGCTATACGAAATAATTTAGCGGATGATATTAAAAAAGCTGTTTCGTAAGTGAAAGTGCGTTTTTGTGAAAAAGCGAGTGAGTAGCAAGATAATGGACCACAGTATGATATGACCGGTTGACCGCCAATCGGGCCACTAACCACGTGTCCATTCTGACACGTCACGTTATACGGCAAATAAATTACTATAGTTAAAATTACGTTAAAAATATTCAGAATAAATTCTTATATTGACTGCTACTTAAAAAAGGCGTGAAATATGCAAAAGATATTGCCAAGATTATATGGTAGAAACAAAGATATTAAAATTAAACATAGAAGGTACATTAGAAAAAATCCGAAAAAACTCAATTCTCTACTGATAATTAATAGCGGCTATGTCCTTACCAAAAATTATAACGCTTTTTGAATCGCTTAAAACATCACTTGACATGCCAACGTATAAATTTAGCCTTGTTGCAAATTTTTTGTTTGGTTAGTTTTGTCCTGTCTATCGATACATATGTTCAACACATCAAAGAGCTATTTTTAAATCAGTTTGTCAAAATCAATCACATGTGTATAATTAATTAATTTAAGATTGTTTTGACAATGGAAATAAACCTTAACGAGAGTGAAATGTATCGAAGTGACGTCGGTCAGTGCAGTAGTGAAAATTGGACACCGGTTTTTATGTAACGAATGATCTTTCCACTCGTAGTGACATTACACGTAACATAAGTAACCTGTAACTTAATAAGTACTTTGTAATTGTCTCCTCCGATATAAAGAAACTACTACTAGTTAATGACATAATTAATACAAAGAGCGGGCAAACGCTTTTGACTAAGGTATCGCATAATTATTCTGCGATTGTCGATTGTTTCGCAGGCATCAACTGTTTAGTTGCACAATTAAAAATCGAGTAATGTGCGCTCCTTCATATAAGCTCATAGGAATCATAAACAGTTGTGCGATAATTTCGTTTCAGGTGTGCGCTGGCTCTTAGTCATAAAATATGTATTTGTATCACTCGTTCCTTGGAGATGCAAATTGCATCTTAATGCCGCACTTAGAGGCCACGGTCGACGCGAGTTAGTCACTATATTATAATCTGAATAAAACCTTCACATTGTTACTATCAAGAAGTCTGCAAGAAGATTTGCGGGTTTCACTGTTAAAACGTTTTATAAATTATAGCTGTTGCTCGCGACTTCGCCCGCGTGAAATTAAAAAAATATAGCCTATGTTACTCGCAGATAAATAACCTTTCTGACGGTGATATAATTTTTAAAATCGGCCCGTAATTTTTGAGTTATTTTTATACACACAAAAAAAATCTTTCCTTTTTATAATATAAGTATTGAGTAGCTTTAGCCCGCGACTCTGTCTGCGTGTAATTAAAACAACAAAAGTAAGTATGTGTTCTTTGAGACTATGTTCTACAACTGTGCCAAATTACATCGAGATACATATATTAAACTTAGAAACTCGGACAACGATATTTTGTTAATAGTGTTTTGACAGTGATTGTGGTTTTGATCAAATGTTAAAATAATACAAACACAGATATTAATACGTCTGTATTCATGAATATTCATTTTGTAACGCACTATACGTTTATAGTTGAGTTTATTACAATGTATTAATTCCTTAGGTAATTAGTAACAATAAAAGGTAATTGTAATTCTATACCGCTATTTGTTTCCTTATATACTTTATAAATAGCAGAAGGATTAGGACATGAAAGGAATTACATTTCTTGTGTTTAAACACATTATGCTGTTATATTAGTCAGATACTTCGTTTGTAAAGGTCGACTTAGTAGTAACAACTAGGTAGATTTATTTATACTTTACTTGTTTTGTTATTAATCTCAACAGCTATTATACCTGAGTACTTCTAATATTATAAATGCAAAAGTTTAGATGGATGGATGTTTAGTAGAGTTTGTAGTCTAAACTTGGGACCTTGATGAAATTTGACATAGATGTAGCGAATAGTCTAAAAGAAACTGTTTCTTTTTAATTCCACGCAGACGGAGTCGTATGCGAAAGCTAGTAACTAATAAAAGTAGACATTTCAGACTAGCGGTCGCCCAGTACTTCGTCATCGAAAAAAGTAGCTTATAATATTCCCACGTACATCAGCTTCCTGTCGAAATTGGCGCAACCGTTTCGGAGATTACCCGGAACAAACGGGGCATTACTGACAGACAAATGGAAAAAACAGATTAAATTTAGAAAACTCAAACACAACATCACAAATTATTACATTTTTGTATCACATACAGACACTCGTATTTTATTATACGTGTAGACTACGACTTTGGACACTTCTCTTTAAAATCACCGCATTTTACGTAGAAGTAGTTTGAAATTATTTATTTCACCATTTCAAATTCAATCAAGGCTAATTTTTAGCTCTATTTAAATCTTAACAATTTCAGAAAGACATTCAATAAATCAAGCATAGTGTGTCGTTTACCATAAAACGTCATTTCCTGTCTGCCCTTACTCGAGCAAGCGTTTATGTCGAGCGTCTCATTATAACCGTCTCTGTGCTTCGGAAGTTACAGTAAGCAGTTCCGTACACTACAGCGACGGAAGTCAACGACTACGGTCAAGGCTGCAACTCTAATAGGTCATTAGGAGATTAATACGGTAAAAAACCGTACATCTTTGTGGCAAAAGGAGGTTATAACTTATCTAATTGTTTTGGAAGTGAGTAATATAATCTATAATCTATATCTATACTAGTCTTTACTTTCTAATATTATAAAGAACAAAGATTTTTATTTTTGTATGTATTGAAATAACTCAAAAATTACTGGGCCGATTTCAAAAATTCTTTCACCATTTTAAAGCTACGTTATCAGTGATTAACATAGATTATATATATTTTATATTATTTTTTACGCGGACGATGTCACGAGGAACAGCTTGATACCATTATATTGATAAAATGTATCTAAATTTGCTAACCCTACAATTCATTTTTGTATTACTCGTCCAAGATTTTTAAAAGATTCATATAATCAAAAATATATTTAACACCTAACTTAACACGTGCTCCGCTGACTCCTTTTCACTTATCAAAGTGGACTAACAGGACGAGGTGGCAGTGAAAATGTTAACCTTCTTTCTTAATTCTTATATTCTGTTAATTCCTTAAATATTTTAATTGGTGAAAGGTACTTTTGTTATAGTTTTAAAAGTTTAACGTTTCCGCTAGTCTCTTAGCATAGAAGGGATTATGCAATTTTAATTAAAGTGTTACGGTCAAATTATGAAATATATTTAAACAGTTGAACTGACATACATAAAGTGATATAAAGATTACACCGAAGAGCATTTATGTATAGACTAGTTTTCTTCCACGACTCCTTCATTTTTTGATCATGTCACCTTTCACGCAATTCATCCATCTCTTTCTAGGTCTACCTCTACCGATGTACCCCTCCACATTACTCTAACCTTTTACTCCTTATTTTCTCAACCACTGGGGCTACTCTCAAACTTCCTCCATGTGGAATTAAAAAAAAAAAACACAAGTAGCCTATATGTTCTTCCAGACTATTCTCTACATCTGTACCGAATTTCATCCAAATCCATTTAGCTGTTTAGGCTACAAATCAAAAATCTATCCATCTAAACATTTGCATTTATAATATCAGTATGAGTACGATGCATTTAGAAGCGAAAGAATTAATTTTTAATATGTATGTGTGTCAATAATTGACAACTTCGATCGATTTAATTTGCCTCAAATTATGCAAAATAAAAAAGCAGTGTATAATACAGTGTATAGCAATTAAATAGAAAATGCTTTATACGAGTAAATCAGGAGAAATTGTAAGTGTCTTGAGTCTATGCATTATTGCGCTTTCATACTTTCGATAACTCGGTTGGATTTTTTTGTATGCTGCAGGATTCCACAATTCCAAATCCAAGCTAGTATTAAATGTACGGTTTTTGTTTGAAATAAATAGAATAGCCAATTAAAGTTACAATTTTTTTGAAATAACGTACTCGAAGTATAACAGAGACTCTCGTTAAAAAGGTATCATAATTAGTAATTAAAATATCTCTTACTTTCACAAAATACCGATGGCACCAGTAACACTATTAAAGCTATAAACACTGAACAGTCAATTTGTCGTATTTTTAAATCCACTCTTAAACTATATCGTGATCTAACATTATTTTTGTTTTTTACACACGCCATAATAAGATATTTAAAATTTTTTAACACTTTTTTAATTTACATTAACCATATTGTTTATTCTGAACGCATTTTTTATAAACGTCAAATTTTGCGCGGCAAAATCGCGCGCACCATCGCAGCGCTGCGTTCGCTATCAAATGACAGCATCAACAGCAACATCTCCCGCCATAAAGCTTTTAAAAAAATAACTGAACAAAGATCTTGATCAATGTTCTGCTTTATACACCTGCATGATTAGCTAACGGTATGAATACTGTGTGAACTTGTATTATTTTAATTTTGTTTAATATTGCGTTACTTGGCATTTTAAAGAGAAATCTTGACTGTCATTGTAGTAGAATATATACTAATCATACTAATATTATACTATTATACTTTATACTAATATTATAAATGCGAAAGTTTAGATAGATGGATGTTTGTTAAAGTTTGTGGCCTAAACGTCTGAACGGATTACGATGAAATTTGGTATAAATGTAAAGGGCAGTCTGGAAGAACATATAGGCTACTTAAATTTTTTTTTAATTCCACGAGGACAGAGTCGCGGGCGAAAGCTAGTGTTTAAACATTAATTTGCACTTCTACAGTAATCAAACAACAAAATTTTTGTTTGAAATTGTTTTGATTGTTTTTGAATAGTGTTTAAAAATATTTTTAAAGCGAACAAAAAATTATTAAAAGCAACCAGGTTTTTATAGCTATAATTTGAGAAAAACCTAAAGTATAAATAAATGACTATTAATCATATACCTTTCCTTCGACGAATATTTATTCTCAGATGTCACCCTTCCTGGACCTTCGTAAAGAATGTCACTTGACAACGGTAATAAATAATTATGCCCGATAATTTTTATCAAACCGGCCAGTATTTAAAGAGAAAAAAAAAACATCAGAATTTTAATGACCAGGATACGCTGAATAAATACTACGATATACCAAGATTTACTGACCTCATTATAATACCAGAAAGACGGTTAATTTGACCATAGTTCTAAATTGCTGAATATTTTCTCGTTATTTGAACTTTAAATGAATTACGATTTTAATGCAGACAAGATACGATTTGAATGCAATCAAGAATGTAGATTACAAATCTAATACGTTTTCTTAGAAAACTAAACATTACTATAGTTATTAATAATTCGAATTCGGTCTCTGTAAAGAAATTTAAAGATCCTTAGATTTTTTAACTCCAAAAAAGCTTAACGGAACTCAATTAAATGTACTACAACAAGGTCTGGATGAACACGTAGGGCTCATACTAAGGTTTTTTTTTTAATTCTAAACGGCCGGAGTTACTGGCAAAAGTATGGTATTAATTGCAATATTTAATCTGATAAAAGAATAAAAAGATTTTTTTCATCTGTTGGGTAATTTAAATGCTTTTCTGTTGCATATTAAATGTTGAATCACGTATAGAGAATACATCGCAATAACATTTGCTTGCATATGGCACAGCACATCACATTAATGTGTGATTAACAATAAAATGCTTCGCACATAGCTATTTGCTAACACCTGCGTATTTCCTCTGTTACATATATCCCGATATGTTATAACATTTTAAATTGAGATTACATAGACAATAAATACAAATTGTAGTTTAAAATCCAAAGTTTTAAATAATCCATTTTCATGTTACGTTGATAAAAACGTAATTTAAATATAAAAACAGTTATTACAGTAAAGTTTCCGTTATTTTATATTGTTATGTTAATATGTTATCTAGCTTGTATGAAATGAGTCACCAACGCACCGTCTACGCTAAATTTTATGGTTTATTGGCCAGTATTGACACACTGGCGGCAGTTTATTGTCACGTTGTACCAGTTGAAAGCCAGTCCAGTTAGTGAGCGCTACTATCTAACTGTACTGGCCAAGTGTGAACCAGATATACAAAAAAACTTAATATCAATGGTGTATATCGTAAAAGATTTAGAAATAAATCTATTTTTAACGGAGATATGTGTATTGATAAAATATGTACAGAAAGAGTAGAAAAAAATGATGACGTCGACAATGTGTTCTAATTTAAAATAATTTAAATTCTTCTTCTTTTCTAATGGCTTGACTCTAAAAACGTGTAAAAACTCCTTGAATATAGGCGTTAGGGCAGGCCGAGGTAAGGCAACCGACGACATAGACGAATTTTTTATGTTGTCGTTTGTCACATAAATTAAAAAAAAATGTTGTCTCTGGCCTAATGGCGAACGGAGAAAGTTAATTTCACGGTTCTTTCATAAGAAAACAATTGGAGTGATCATTGTGAATATAGATTATGTAATTGAGTTAACCCACGACCGATTACCGGAGCCATAGCACCATGCAGTAAACAAGAGATTCTATACCTTTGTCACGACTTGAGTATATTAAATAAACAAACGTCACAATTTCGACGATTTTTTAAAAAAAAGGTGACACACATAGGCCACTTGCAATTTTTTTTAATTCCGCGCCGATGAAGTAGGCTGAAGTTAGTTTAAAAATATAACATAGTAGCACAAAATTACCTTCACAAACTACAAATTGCACAAACATCACTATCAGGCCCGCATACATTGAATTGGTTAATTTTCCTATTTTTTCTAACATCACTACATTTTACTTTATATAAAAACAACATTCATACACTCTATAAGAATATTACACTTTAGTCATTTAAAATCTATATACTAAGGCCCTGTCCCACATCTGCCTGATAGACGCTCAGATAGGTTAAAATGACGTCACTGACAGATAACTGAACGAAATTCGATATTTCCATCACATATTTAGCACGTTGGATTGTTATTAAATAATTTACAATTTGGTGGGACATGGCCTAAATATTACATTTTTTATTATCTGTGTAATATTGTGCGCGTCTATTTGCGAATGAAACTACAGATGTCCTACCATGTAACCTGTGTTTTAACAGTAAATTGTGAACAATTGGCGCGGTCCTGACACACGCCTGTCGGGGACTATAGTCGGGGTAATTGTCGGTGTCACAGTTATAAGGCTACAGTCTCTTAAACGTGTACGCATTAACACGACGAAGCACTGATAACTTACGGCTACATTAACTGTTACTTGTAAGAAGAAATGGAGTTGTTAAAAATAAGGCGATATATCTGAAAATGGAACACCGCTTATATCCGCGACTGTACGTTTCTACACTAGTTGGTTCCGACTTTAATTAACTTGTTAATATTTGACCCAAAATGATTGATTTTCCACATCTATATCTGAAATAGTTATATAACGATAATATTACACAAACTTGGGTCTTAAAACTTTTGTTGACAAACCTCCAATCGCTTAAAGGGTCATGTTTTATTCATAACCTCAAATGTATTATAACTTAACACAAATGTAACGTAATTCATTAAGTCATATCTTGAATGATCATAGACTCGTTGTAACCTACTTTTTATTAAAGAATCTATGTTAACGTAGTAATAAATAAAAATAATTGCATGTCATGATCTAATAGGCGTTTTCTAAAGATTTTTATGTGTGTTAACGTAATAAACGATAAAAACCTCAAGTTTTTTTTTATTAAAATAGAGTACCAAATTTGCAATAGTAGCTTTGTACACCACTGTATCATTCTAAGACATTTGATAACTTTAAATTATGCAATAGTGGTTATTTAAATTTTTATTTAGTGTTGCTGTAAGATCGGAGATTGCTAAAATATTTTTGCAGGCGCTTTATGGATTCTGCTTCTCTTATTTTCTGCAAAGGATAGTAATAAATTGCGTTGTAAACAAATGTTTAATCAGTTTATTACATTTTAAGTAATGGTTGCTAAGCTTGGTAATGCTGACTTTGGTAATTCGACAAAGTTATTATTAATTTTGGCTATAAGGTTATTTGGGCGAATTTACATTTATAAAGCGCTGTATTTTTGCCATACTACATTTATTGCGAAACAGCGTATCAATTTTATAAGCCACAATAAAACTTTTATTTGCACATTTTATTACAAATGCATAGATACGGTTGAGAATGAAATGCTGGTAACAAAACGAAACTTTACCTGACTTAAGAATTTAAAAGTTTAAAATACTTTAGGAGTATCATAATAACTCTTAAATATTCTAAATTTAAAACTTTTTATGTAATCTGAAGAATTTTTCTTTAAAAAGGTTTTTCGACAAGCGGAAATTTTTTTCGTAAAGTAAATAGTCACTAACTGCAGACATTAGGGAACATTTCTCATACTAAATTGACACTAAAGGATACTTAACTATGCGTGAGGCAGTTAAAGTTACAGACGTAACAACATGCTTGAGTTTTCTATGGTCAAAATTAATTCAAATAAGATAACCTTTCGAAATAAGATAAAGAACCCTAAATTAGAAATAATTAATTGGGTAAATTTTATTCTGACATCTTAAAAGGTCTAGGAAATTTCTTAAAGTGTTTTCAATTAATTATTGATAAAAAAGAAATAACAATTTTCCATATTGGCGGTTAAGGCGTCCGCCATTTTGTGCGTCATTTGACGTTTGACATTTATTT